TGCTCCTGATGGTCTCACACAGTCCCCTTCTTTGAGGACCTATGCAACCGGTAGACGGTAGACTGAGACCTGAATACAAAATTCCACAAAACTAAAGCACTTGACGCAGTTTGAATAGACTATGTAGCAAATGCTATGAGGTAGAATTATGTACACAGTTTAACAGCTTTTCTTATATCCAGTCATTTAGTATCTGTTCCAAAGCTTGAGTTCTGAACATGTTGGGTTTTCAACCCAAAGGAAGAGAAGTGTAGTTATTATTATGCCGGTGATAATGCTTTCAATGAAAATCATTGACTGGTATTTTCTTCATTTACTTATAAAATGATTCATAATAGAAAAAAAAAAAAAATAGTTATAAAAAGAAAAAAGAAAAAGAAAAAGAAATGTAACATATTTACAACTATAGCACTCAGTCCTGTACGGTAAATAAGTTTATTTGCATGAATTTGGTCAGCATTGGTGCTTCTCTATTGCTAATAAATCTGTCAATCTTTGTGTGGAATTATGTACAATTGTATGTAAACAAATGGAATTATGTACTATTTATATACATCTATTTTTACATTTTTTTCTTGTGCCTCCTGGCCTTAATGGAATCATACCTAACGAAAAACTTGAGGGGATGTATAAAATTCACTTTCATTGAACACTGGTCTCAAATCTTCTTGTTGCATAAACTCTAAAGGGAAGGAAACAAGATGTCCCCTTACATGCTTCAATTTTTCCATTGGATCTGTTTCTTTCACCTCTCCATTCTCACAGGACTGTATCTTCTCAGGGGCTATCCCCAAATCAATTGTGGTGTGCCCAAGTTTCTCTTTCTGATGAGCCATGCATTGTCTGAGAGCAGCTCTGTAGTTGATGGCAAAGATAGAGATTTTAAGAGAGCATAGAGCAAAAAAACAAAAATACAAAACCTTGAGTAGTATTGTACCTTGAGTGTATAGAATCATTCGGAATACAAGAAAAGACATCTTGGTAAATAATTGAATTTTCCTGTAAAATATTAGAGATACTGTAATTAAGTAAGGGAGAAGAGATGAAAAGAAAAAAAAGGCTAACCGTGAGAAACATGAAATAGTGATCGAAATTGCAAACTTTCATCACCTTTGCAGTTGCTAACCACAGATCTTTGTATGTTGTGTCTGACACAGGATCACTGATTTGATTTATCTGAAGGAATTCAGATTCAACAAAACAATGTTAATATTAAATATTTAACTGAGGAAGATGTAGATGAATCATTAAAGAAAAATTAGTGAAAAAAATGACCCTGAATTTGTATCCAGAGGCAGGCTCTTTAAGTTTTTCCTACTTTCCGTCAAAAGTGAAAAGAAGCAAGCAAAGAATAACTGATTTGATTTATCTGAAGGAATTCAGATTCAACAAAACAATGTTAATATTAAATATTTAACTGAGGAAGATGTAGATGAATCATTAAAGAAAAATTATTGAAAAAAATGACCCTGAATTTGTATCCAGAGGCAGGCTCTTTAAGTTTTTCCTACTTTCCGTCAAAAGTGAAAAGAAGCAAGCAAAGAATATCTCATGGTTCGTCAAGGTTACCAACCTCCCCTGCATGAAGACCCAGGTGCTCAGACCACAGAGAGCACCTAAGACTATAAGCAAATTTTCCGGCCTTCCAAGGCTGTCCATTCATAGATGATTCAAGAAACTCTTTATCTTCAATTACTACACCAATCTGCAACAAATATATAACAGAGTCCATTGGTAATGCGTCTGCAGGATTTCTTTTTATCCAAACTTCAGGAAAACTACAATTATCTAAGTATAACTACAAAGTAGAAGTGCCTCGAAAAAGAACCAACGAAATGCATTAAACATGCTGAAAAGCTTATTGCCTAAAAAAGAGAGATTATACCTCAGAGTCTCTTGATCCAAGCAGACTTCTGTCGTTAATATTAGACGATCCGATCAAGGCAACACAATCATCTA